CTAGTTAAGGCTAGAGAGTAATTAGAGAGCATGCGCGCGGGAGAGAGCAGATGCGGCGGTGCGAGAGGTCGCCCTTCCAGCCACCTATTCCATTGAATCAAAGGATACAGCGTGTTATTACTGTGGTTACAGTATGCATTACCGTAACTCCGAAGCGTCACGGACTTATGCGCAACTTATCGCAGAATGCAGCCACACTTCCAAAAGTCTTTTGTATACTCTAACTTTCTTCTTAAGTCTTGAGCACTTGTCGCACAACGCGCCCAGTGTTACGGTAGCATACTGTAAGAGTGCAAAAAGGACTTCCCTGTGTTTCAAGACGTATGTTAAGGAAAAAATCCTCATAATGTCATTAGCGGTTGTTATTCTACTATTTGCTGGCATTCTATGCATAGTCTACTTTGATGGCATAAAACCTGCCATAACAGAAGCTTTATTAAAGGTGCGCATAAATTCCAATGAATCCTATAGTTATTATCAGCTGCTTATAGACTGTAGCAAACTACGATGATGATCCAGCATCTCGATCATTTATTGATAGAATCCAGGTTTGTTTGCGTGGGTAAAGAGGTCGTGTTTATCGACCCCCAATCTTTGATAGCTCGCCCGATCAGGCGATAAGCGCTCACTTATAACTAGCGTCCACCACCTGATCGGGTAGAATAGCGCTTGATCAAAGATCTTGAGGCTGTTAGATACTTCCTCAGTTTACAAGAGGATAAGATTATATGTGGAAAATATAGTGATGGATTTCCAATCAATATATCGATTTCCCGTTTTGGTAAAAGCTCTAATCTTTCCATGCTAACGAAGAATCTTTTGTCTGTTTTTCTCGTAATTTATGCCATGAAGTTTTTTTTTGAGGATATATTGATATATTTGGTCATGATCAAATCGAAATGATGATAGATCGATATATTGATTTTTATGACTGAGTCAGAACTGGCGCTAAAAGACAACGAAGATTTAGCCTGATCCAAAAATCAAATAAGTTGTTATTTTTGAGAAGCCCTGCTGTCCTTGCTAAAATATTTTAGACAAAATTATCCAAGAAAATTTTCCTGTGTTTTGTCAATTGAGCCTGTAAGTCAAAAGAAAAATTTTGTATGTCTCTCGATTAGAGGAATGCAAATAATTGTGTTTTCCATACAGATTGCCTACAACTGCTGTGGAATTAACGGCTCGGCTGATTATCAGGATCTGTCTAGTGTGAACTTATACGGAATCAAAAAGTAGTGGCACATACAATAATCGATTATTGATCGATCAGCATACTTCTAGCCCGCTACCGCGAGATAAAACATTGAATGACTGTCCTCATGAAGACATAGCATGTCTTTATCCACTTTCATGCTGTTTTTCTGTAGAATGTACGGAATATCGATTAGCTGAGCTGAATGTAGAAGGTGATAGATTCCATGAGCGATGGTATAAAAGTAAAGGTCAGTTGGTTTAAGTCTTTGCCAATTCGGACAAAAATTTCTCCAATTTTGCACTGTAGGATGCGTCTCCGCAATATTTTCTGCGCATTTTGGTCTGCTCGAGCCAATTTATCCTGTAATTTTGATATTCTTTTCACTTGCCACGCAAGTTTTCGGGCTCCTCTTTGCTCAGGTATACCGAAATCCAATCGATGATCGATCGCTATTGATTATTTCCAGCTAACGTTGACCGGCTACCTGACATTGGCTGAAAGTGGACTTTCTGATGTGGATGAATCGGTAGCATGGTTGCTGCCATTCTCATATCCAGGACCAGAAGATATAGTGCAGGTAAAAAAAATTGATAATTGATAAAACTAGTAATATTTTAGGTCAGTTGCCAATTTTCGATTATTTTACAAGTTGTGCAAGAATAATCCACATACGAAATTGGAAAAATTGAGATGTCCAGCTAGTACTTTTGAAAAGTGCAAAAACCCGAAATCTTGATGGTTCCAATTTATTTCATAGCTGAGTATAATGTTAAAACTCTGGAATAACTTAATGTCTTCCTGTGGAGTTACAATTTTCCGTAATTAAAAAAAATTTACACTTTTCACTTGCGTGTCAGTGTCCGAGACAAAACGCCCACTGACACGCAAGTGAATAATTTTTTCAGCCCAACTTAAAATCAGTTTTAGTTTTTTTTT